GACATCATTAAAGGTTTCTCATATCTTGTATGGTGTATTTCGACCGGTGTGTTGTTTCTGGGCAAACTCGTAGGTTTCGGGGTAACTGCTAAAAGACCCTGGAGCTGTGTTTTACGGTGCAGCCAACAGTGTGTACAAGCAGCGCACAAGTTTTGAAAGTTAGGAGATGATTTTTAATTATGAGTCAGGTAACTGCATTAAAAATTAAGAAAAAGTGTCATTTACAAGCTACAGTATGACTGTTTAAAGGAATAAAATCTGATTGCATTTTTAAACGAGCCGTTATTAATTGACCCCCAGAAAAAGTTAGCTATTGCCTACACTTGAAGCAGGCTTTCACATTGATGCAGAGCTGTAAAACTGTCACAGACCATTAAACGTGTTATAAGGATGAGGGCTTTGCCATTCAGGCAGAATTCTAACAGTCCAATAAGCTGTAGGGATGACCCAGCCACCGTACAAGCACAAAATACAAAATGGAGAAAACCGGATTCCTCCATATCAGGAATTTGGGCAAACAGTACCTTAACCTAGAGATTTAAACAGAATGCCAAGAGCGTGCAAGTGAGGTGAGAGAATTTAGAAATGCCTATTTCTGTGACAGTGTTCACTCTCTAATGAGAGAAACTGAAATTTACAGTGTTCACTTGCTAATGAGGGGACTCTTTCCAGTTTTAATGGAGAGTGTGTGCATCGTGGTTTATTTCAGACCTGAAGGCTGCTGCTTCTGGGAAGGAGAGATCCTGCACACTGAGCTTGTTAGGGGACACAGCTGCCACAATGCAGGTAGGAGTATCTCTGCTCTGCTGACACACAACCTGTGTTTTATAATCCAGGTTCTTTTGCTCGAAGCCCCCTGTCTAATGTAAGGGACTTTGTAAAATAACAGCTCCACTGTCCTTCTCCAGCAGTGTTTGAGTATGAACTGGATTCTCTAGCTGTAGCTCTGTCCAGCTGCTTCACTGGTAGAATGTGTGAATATTCTTGATATTCAGGACTGTGAAACAGTTATCCAAGGAAGGTAAATGTTTGATGTTTAGTTTCACATCAATTTGTTCTAAACTATGAATTTGCTGCTAGAGGCACAGTACTGAATGGGAAGACCTTTAAGAAGAGTGTCGTAGATTTCACTGAGAATTCTGATTGCATTAAGATGGTGAAATGGAGGTACCGCATAGTAGAATACCAAAATGATGACAGAAGTGGAATAAGACACAGGTGTGCTCCTACCTGCAGCCCATATAAATCGAACCCAGAGATAACAGAGAGTAGAAACTACAGTGCTTACTGAAGCCAAGCTGCACAGAAACTACATCTGACTGTATTTGGTAATGTAATTCCCTAAACTAAAACTAAAACTAAAACATAGCAAAACAAAGGAAGGGAAGGGAAGAAGAGAGAAGTGGAAAAAAGAGAAAGGTAAATAAATAAGCAAGAGACCCCCCCCAGTAGTCCTTTTTAAAAGAGACTGATAGAGGATGAGAAAAAGGGAAAGATAAAATGGGATTAACAGGCACTTTTTTAATTCAAGGAAGGAGGTTTACTGATGACTAAGGAAAAGGAATAAATGGAAGACCCGTTTCTGAGGCAGTTTATTTTTATACTTTTAAGAAGATAAGATTGAATCAATTGTTTTGTGAGAAAAATGACCAGATTTATTTTTATATCTTTCAGAAGAAATGTATGTTTTTTTTAAATAAAAGATAATTGTTTCCAACAGTTTTTGTGAAGTCTTTTTTTAAACAGGGTATACCACTGTCCTCAATATAGAGGTTACTTTTTCAGAATATACCAACCAGATGTAAATGAATCCTGTTATTTTCCAAATACTTTTCTCTAGAAAATAAAGACTTGTTTAACTGGTCTCAAATACCATTTATTAATCGACCCGATAGATAATTGTAACCCCCATGGTATCACACTTTGTAGTTTTCATTGAATACTTATCACCGAAGTGTAACATATTTCAATCTAAAGTCTAGCATTTCAGTTTTTAATGTAAAGCCTGACATTACTTTTATGTTCCTATTTTTTACAGCAGCAGTCTGGCCTCCTGAAATCTGAGCTGCTGCTACACGTCAGTGACCCAGGAGAGCCGCACTGAGGGGTGGGTGAACCTTCCCACCCTTCCCTTATGCAGCCAGATAAAAGCTTTTTATGAACATGATTGTTGTGATTTGGAGACCACTTTGTCAGAGCAGAAATCCATCACTGGCATGTGTACTGTTATTCTAGACTGCTTTAATTGGGTTGGGTTTGACTGACAGTTTCTTTTATCACAGTTATTTGAGCTCATAATATTTACTTATTTACTTTTACTCTCCTGTGTTTTTGCAGCAGCAGTCTGGCCTCCTGAAATGTCCTATTTGATTCCCTCACAGTCTGTTCTCACTCCTTCACCTGGTCTGCGGTGACTGAACTGCGGCTATACGTCAGTGACCCAGGAGAGCTGCATTGAGGGGTGAGTGAAGTGTGTCCCCTCCTGTGGGGTGAGAAGTACTTTATCAGTGCACCTGGTAGGGGTTCTTGAAGACCTGCAGGTCTTCTGTAACTGTGGTGAATTTGCTTTACTGACTTCCTACCATGTTATGAAAAAGTATATTCTGTATTTCTGTCATATATACTTTGTGTGTGGATGTAATATATTCCAGTTTACAAAGTACATTTCTTAACTCCTGAGGTATATTACACTGTATATCCTAGGTTATGCAGGGCTCAGACAGGACACTGCCACTCATCCTCTCGCAGTTTTATCTGGGTTCAGTATTGCCAACAGGTAGTTTTACACGCTCCTTGACTTCTGCACTATGCAAGTTAATTCCAACCTTACTTATGCAGCCAGATAAAAGCATGTTATGAATTTCAATTGTTTGATTAGGGGGCCACATTGTCAGAGCAGAAATCCATCACTAGCAAGTGTACTGTTATTCTAGACTGCTTTAATTAAGTTTTATCACTGTCATTTGAGCTCATAATCTACTTTTATCAAAAGCAATATAATTCATCATAGACAATGATTAAACAGTAGGCTTTATATTGATTATAATTTCCTCTGGTCTTCGGCAACTGTCCTTCCCTGCTGCTGATTCCTCAGAAAACCTGTCAATACTTGTTTGAACTCTGAGAGTATCTGTAGTTAAACGTGTGTGTCTGTATGTGTACAGTATATACTGTATGTGCTCTGGAAGAGTGTAAATCTACCCTGGCAAAGGCCAGTAACTATCTGAGTAATACAGAGGGACGTTGGGCAGGTTGTTAACCTTTACTTTTGTGAAACAGACTGAGATGTAGGCTGTAATGATATTCAGTATCAGTTCCTATTTATGAAATGCACACAGAATTGTTATATAGCAGTTTTAGTTCTAGGTAGCCTTGTCACATAGTGAAATCTGTTTTCGTATTTACTGATGAAAAAATGATTTTATTTCCAGTGATTAATGATTGTATTTCTCAATTCTCAGCAGTGCTGACGAGCACAGGCCTTTCCCCTGAGTCCCTGAGCTGGAAGGATCATGAGGACACCTGGACAGTCAACACAGTCTGCAGCTTCACCTGTATAAGAGGTCACTCTTAACAGCAGTTTCTTACATCATTAACAGGGAGTCATGATGCAGGGTTTTCTCTTTCAGTGGATTAAAAAATATCACTTTCCCAGTTTGTGGAACAAATGTTGATATAAAAAGATTGAATTGTTAGGAAAACAATACAGTGATCATTGTATCACTTGATACACATTCTCCATGTTCAGTAACAGCTCTGCACCTGGAGCAACAAATATTGAACCTTTCTATGTCTCTTGTATTTCAAACAATCTGTTCATACAGTAGTTCAGTGTTTAATGTTTTGTGAAAAAAAGAGGAAATGTAAACTGCCTTAGTAAGAAAACTAAGAATGGTTTTCTTATATTTGTCTTTTTCTGAGTAAAGTCCAGTTTCTTCCTGGTTGTGTCTTTGCTGTGGGTACTGTACAGATCTCTTGGAGAATAGGATGGAGATGGATGTTGATTTACATTTGTTAAATATGTGCCCATAGTAGTGAAGAAAAAATATTGCTTTGAGGAAATCGATTTTGAGTTGGATTCTGCATCATACACATAGAAAGTTAATTCCTTGAATGTTAAAATTTTATTTTTTTCCAGTCACTGACCAATAGTTAAATGTTTGAAGAGTTCCCGAGTAACATGCACATGTCTTAATCTTTAAAAGTTAAATTGCTTCAGTTCTGGGTCTGTCCTCAAAATATCTACGTAAATGTGGAAGAGCATTCAGAACTGTAGCGTTGCACAGCAGATTATGGGGGTGTGTGTTCAGCACCACATAAGCTCCTGGTTAACCCTGCAATGCGCTTTTAGAAGTTTGATTTGCTCATACAGTGCTGTGGTGATTTTTTACATCGTGAGCTCAGCCACACAAAAGCACATTAAGCTCCCTGACTTGTTTGCATTCTCTTTCAGGTTCTGGTCAATAACACATTAACCATTTCTACACAGAGCACTTTACAATTAACATTGGAGGCTCTTGTCCTTCCTGCCTTTAGCTGCTCAGCAATCTACATGTTAACAGAACTGGGATCTGAGCTGGATCTGCCAGCAGTAGAGTTCAAGGCTGGAGCTGCTCTTCCAGATCTTTATCATTGCCAGCAACAGTTTGGGCAAGAGAAATATTTCCCAAAAGAGGACTGCAGGATTACGAGTGTATTTTACCAGAATTATGATGCAAGATCATTTTGTAAGCAAGCAGGTGCTTGTTCACAGGCAGCATCCTTTTGTGCATATACAAGTAACTGGGGTTTTACAGTCAAGAAGCTGATGCAGTACATAATAAAGAGGAAGATAAAGCACCTAACTTCATGACCGACGGGCACCGTGAACAGCTTGCAGCGACAAGAGAAGTAGCTGTAGGCTCTTTAAAGAGATGGGAAGATCGCTAGTCCTAGATGAGGTAACCCCGCTACAGATACACGAACCACTTCCCCCTCGAAATTCAGTCATTAAGAATGAATCCTGGAATACATTAGTTTATTGAAAAATTAAACAGCAGTACAGGCGTAACGAATCCAGCCGTTATTAGCCAGTATTGAACATCGCTCAGGCGGTCAGGGGTCTGGAGCTCCGGGAGAGAAAAACGCTGCTCTTTCAGGACACAGCCGGAGAGACGGTGGGTAACCTGGGACCGCGAGGTGAGTTCGGCTGCTCTCCGGGATCAACTACTGCTTGAACACAGGAGAGAAAGCGTTTCACATTTTAATACCTTTAGTCACAAATTGCGGCCTCTCGCCATAGCCGATACAAAGGTAGCACCACTTCTTGAAGGCACAAATAAGCGGCTTATTCGTAGGGAGAAACGTCAACCGGTTCCGAGATTTCTCCAAGTACAAACACAAAGCTCTTTTAACTTGAAGCCAAGAGGCAAGATAAGCAAAGCACAGACCAATCGGTTTCTCACATCTTTGAATTCGCCGCTCATCTCCCCAGTTTCACGCTTCACGGGAGCTCTGCGCTTCGGCCTTCAGACGGTTGTAGAGGACAGGAAGGCTGGGGAGCTGGAAAGGAGAAACTGCATTAGAGACCTGTCGAAACACGAGCAACGTACCTGGCCAAGCATTAAAACATAGCTCGCACTTTTGAATGGTATAACATTTTCACCCTTTTACAAGTAGGAAAGTTGTTGGCTTAGCTGTAACTTTTTTTTTTTAATGCAAGGTCATTTTATTTATTACTCTGTAGCTCAGACGCTTCCTGTCATTTAGTTTGGAACTGTTCCCACCTTAATAGGAAGATGCTCTTTATACAAGTTTCTGTTACATAAACAAAACATCGCGGATCTTTCCTCCTACTCCAAAGCTGCTATTTAAAGGGAACAATTTTTAAAGGAGACTAATTGAAGCTCGATACAAGATTAATCACACCTGGCTTCTGGATTTTAATTCATTAGAAATGTCCAAAACACGGACTGGATCCTGGAGTTGGCCGTCTCCGCTTTGAAAACGCAGTCTTTCAGACGCAAGTAATTTGGAATACAATCCCACTCCATACTTTTAACATAGCCACTGATGAAGTAACCTTATTCAAACTTCAATTGAATATTTACGACTTATTTATTCGTTTTCAATTCAAAATACTTTATTCATCCCCAGGGATTCAGATCATGAATAGTAAAAGGTTAGAAATTAGCGTCATTGCGTCAGAAACAGTTTCGGATTTTTTTTAATCTTTGGATCAAGCAGTAAGAACTGCTACTGTTTGACAGTCAATCTCAACTGTGATCACTGTACTGTACATAACTCATTGACAGTGGTACCCCAACAATGTACACTGTCTATAAACCTGTATACGCAGTGTATAACACTATAGTTTTGATTACTTTAAATTAATCAAAATTAATTTACACATCTCTTAGAGATTAGAATTATGAATTAAACCCCTAAATACCTGGCGCGCACTGTTTCTGAAGGTTCAGTGCCAGCCGTCTGATATTCATAGACAACATTTTTACCACCTGCACTCTTGCATTTGACTATAGTAATTGTATCTTATAGTATATTAATAATAGTATATAAAATAACAATAAAAGGATCGATATGATATCCATTGATTACAAAACGAGTTATTACATCATCACTAGTCTGTGAAATATAAATTTATCATGTCGTGACACCGACTGATTTTTTTTTAAAGTTGTCTTTAGAAACATTTCAGGCATTGTGTTTAAAAAAATAAAAAACTAACATTTTAGTCTCTCAGACTTCACGTCTGACTCATGACATACAGGCTCCTCCAACTCTACTGCTAATTTTAATACTTTATTTTTCACTGTCGTTCGAAAGGTTAATCATGTCCAGTCGCAAAAAACCTAGAAAAATACATTACAAAGGCGTCTCAGTAGGCTTAATGCTTGAAAAGCGAGCAAACAGGGGGAACTGTCTCGTCTCAAAGCTGTGACTAGGGTTAAGACTGAATAAGAGAGTCACATGGCCGATCTTTAGCGTGGCCGGCCTGGTGGCTCCGTGGGCTAACCCATCGGGCACTTTCTAAAGTCCAGACAATTGGATCGACTCCCAGAGACGCTGGGGAGTTAAAGACGAGCCCCGAGCCTCCCCGTCAGTCTGAGATCTAAGCCCCGGGTGTAGCTCTCGTGCTGTCGGGGTGAGTTTGTGTAGGTGGCTGTTCTCTACCACGCCGGCCGTTTTGGGGGGTTCCATTTTCGGGGCCCTCCAAAACAAGGAAAATGGGGGGTTTAAGTCCTTTATGAATGAATAGTAATGAACGGAATTCTAAAAAGCAGCCCCTTATACCACTGAGACACCTGCAGGACGGGTGTGGCACTAGCAGTGAAAGAGAGGTGCAGTCCTAACTAGGAGCGGCAGGGGTCCCTATCCAGCACATTCCTCTTGATTCGGTCAGCTGGCCGCAAGCTAGAAGTTCCCGTCGAGCACAGCCTCGTAGGGGAGTGTTACTGTTTTAGGTTTTCTGAAAATCCTTTAGCCGACAAATGCTTTATGTATGATCTGGTGAGCTGAAGCTTCTATGTATCTCCAGTAACGTCAGTGTTGAAGCCCTTGTAACAGAATCCGCAGCTGTCCGTCAGGACCGGAGCCCGCCTCCAGAGTGACCTTCCTCAGCGGACACGCCCCGTCCACCTGTTCCACAGGTGCGCTCGGCAAGATGGCGGCGGGACGAGCTGGGGCGGCTCGAGGTGCGTTTGCGTTTTATTTCGAATTTTCTTATTTTAAGTGCAAAAAAATCAAATTTCACTTTGGGGAAAGCAAGATGAAAAGTATTTTGTTGTTGCTACTGTTGTTAATTGTTATGTTTTTTCTTTTCTTTGTGTTTTAGGACGCCGAAATGAGTGTCCTGTCCGTTGGAGCGTGCTCTCGAAGTTTGAAAAGTTTGTATAAAGGTTCTTATACTATCATGCTTTGTACTTTCATTGTATGTTTTTAAAACATGGTATCTCTAGGTGTCTGGGGCTGTAGTTTTTCTTCTAATATTAACTTTTTAAAGTCCTTAGCTGTGTAATGTCCTTTTGCGGGTTGGGGCTAAAAGAACGTTTTTCGTTCCGAAATGATGCAAATATTGTCAAGATTAAATTGAATAATTCGTTAGGTTTTTATTTCTCCAGGTGCCAAAAGGATTTCAAGAACGGGATACCAGTAATTAAAAATGTGTTTTTTTTTAAAGGTAAGTTATATTCCCACCTTCCGCTTTACTATTAATATTTGTGTAACCCGTTAAGACAACACGTTTTGCCTGCTTTTTCACACATTTTTACCCGGAACAGGCATATATTAACTACATTGCTGCTTTTCGTTTCGTTGTGCTTTTGTTGAACGGAAAAAGCAAACTCTTAAGACGCTGGTTCTTCAACGGAATTGAATTCTTATGTGGCTGAACGTATGTTCTGGAGTTTTTTGGAGTAGCGGGACAGGGATCTATCTTTGCTTTCTCATTTAAT